TCATAGAGGGAGAAAAATCTGCGATTTGAAAGGATGAACTAAAACGTCCCTTCATTCACGTGGAAACAGGAAACAGGCTGCGTTTCCTGTCCGAGGACGTCCGTTACCTCTGGCTGGTGGCCATCATGTTGAGCCCGGCCGCCGACGGTTTGGAGACGTGTCTGATGACGTTTAGGAGCCGCTCGTTGGTTTGGTCCATCTGTCTGATGTACTCCGGGTCTTTGGTCACCTCCACCACCACCGCCTCCAGGGCGGCCCGCAGAGCCAGGATGCTCCCCGCCACCTCGTGAGCAATCGTCAGTTTGATCCTGCCATCGTTAAAGTGAAAGGTCACTGAGAGGAGAGCGAATCACAGTGAGTGCTGACGAGCTGGAGGTCGGTCTCTCACCAGTCGTCGAGCTCCACGAGCTCGCCGTTAGAGGTCACCTTCTTGCAGGCGAACAGCAGCAGCTGCAGAGGACTGACCAGCGTCATCCCTTTAGCCGAGATCGCTCTGGTTCGGATCTGAAAACAGAAACGTCCCCACCCGAGAGAAATGTTGTGATGCTGCGAGGGCCGTAAATTCACCTGCTGTTGTTAACTTACACAAAAGTAACAATATTCATGTCAAAAGGTGAACTTGGCAGTTTTCACCTTCTCGCCGAAGACGAAGAATGGCGACGGGTAGATCATGTCGTGGCTGCTGAAGGGACAGTTGACGGAGGATTTGTGGATGAGGGCGTTGCGCCCCTCGGTGGTCAGGATCTTCCTCTTCTCTTTGTGGTAGCAGACGTTGGGGTACGAGCCGAAGGTCAGCAGCGAGACCACCACGTCCAGGTTGTTGTCCGGCCCCACCGTGTTGAACATCTGCGTCATGAGACACTCTGAGGGAAACCAAAGTGCAGGTGAGCTCCCGCCGCTTCGATCAGCTTCGTGTGTCAGGATGGTGCGTTCGGGTACCTTCAGGAAATCCAGAGTTCACCAGGATCTCCTTCAGCTGGACTTTGGCCTCCCAGGTCATCCTCAGAGTCGCCATGTTGAGACGTTTGTGGTCACAGAAGCGACTCTCCGCCTCCTCTCCGTTAATCCTGAGCAGAACGACAAGTGTTCACTAACGAGACGTTTCAGGGAGAAAACGACACTTCCTGTCTTTTGTAACTTTACTGCTCTATATGTAAAGTTTACCATTTTTATGATTTAGCTGTTCATTTGTAAGAGCACAGACCTGACGTCGTCCCAGGCCTGGAACACGGACAGCAGCGCCACGTGATCCGAGAAACGACTGCCAGCAAAGTTTCTGTGCACGAAGCCGAGACGCTTCCCCTCGCTGATGAACGGCTCTGGGAAACAGGAGGCGGCCGAGATGGTGCACATCGCATCGCCGACGCTGGAGGGAAACACGAAAATGAGAATTTCATTTAACCCTTTAAGACCTGCC